AACAGCCTGGATCATCAAATGGGAAAAAATAATCATTATCAGTAGCAGTCAGAAATGGGGGGAAAGACAAGGTGAAACCAGACTCAGGTTTTGGACCACTTACTGCCTTAGGACGTGACTTTGGACTGAGGCGGAGTGGCAAAAGCCTATGGATTTGTGATGCAAAGGAAAGTTTGCTTCTCTAGTGGACGATATAAACACCTAGGGTTTTTCCAACATCTTTCGTTCAGAAATGTACTTTTGGTAAACAGTCGGCAGCTAGTCTTGGAGAGGACAAGGCACTGATACAATACCGTACACTTTCTACTACCAGATCACAGGGAATACCAACGTGTATGAAAGATAATATACATTACCTCATACATGCTAACAGATGAAAAATACATTATGAAGACTTAATATGGCTTAGTGCACATATGTGTTTAAGTTGGTGTCCCTTGTTTTGGGTAAGAGGTATCTTCCAAAAGTCCTCACCACTGCCATCAAACCGAGACTCTACCTGCAGGTGATCCACCATAAAGCTCCACAGGGTTCTGGGGTGACAGCTGCCAGCACGAACAAATGCCTCAGGTCCCCTTACGAGCAGGCTAAATGTAACTTGCAATAAGATGTAAAAACTTAGTTCCAACTTCAGCAGCAGCAATACAGCTGGCAGAAACACTGAGAAGGTGGTGAAACATGATTTCCCAGATGCTACGAGGTTGAATCAAGGTCTGTGTTACGGCATATGGTCAGTTAAGACAACATCCTTTTAGTTTACCCACTTTAAAAGAAATCAAAAATTACAGAATAATTCTGAAAGCACCTTTAGCTAACATTCATTGACTCCTAGTATTGCCTTTGAAAAAGCAAACTGTCTTGTATGAATGTTCCATGCTACCAATGAATGCTAAAAGAAAACTTATTGACACAGGTATTTCCTATTTACGTAACTTCTAGCTTATGTAAGATGGTCAGAGCCTTGGCCCTGCTATAGCCCTCTTTTACACTCCTACAGCAGTACACTGCTGACCTCAGTTACGTATGAAACTCCCCTGGAAGCCAACAGCATGTAACCATACACCTATAATTAAGTACATACTTGAACGCTTTTTTAAACAGGGAAAGGCTGATGAATTGCTGCCTACATAACTAATGATAAAATAGTAGTAATGTACATTTAAATTGGGATTATGCTGTAAATGTTTTATGCCAGAGATCTACTGGCCATTGATGACTGAGAACCGGTCTACTGCCAGCCCGTGACAGGCCACTGGCACACTTTGGCGTGGTCACACATGGTTGGATGTGTCTTGCAAAGGACCAGCAGAGTGGCCATAAGAGCCCGTGATTTGCTGATAATGCTCCCCTCTTTAAATAACATGGCAGCAGAAGGGTACTCCTAACTTCAAATTTCCAATCTAACTCCTATATAACACCAATTTGAAACAGGAGGCTCTTCCTTCCCACTAACAAATGAGTCATCTAAGATTAACTTTCTCCCCACTTGTCAGTTCCTCGCCCTGACACCACTGGTGCCTCTTACCTTACTGGTGTAAGGGCAGCAGCACTAGCACAGTCACCCTGCTGGAATTTTAATCACCTCCGCAGCAACTTTGTTCAGAGCAAATTTAGACCACAGAGCTAAAATTATCAGCAACTTCTGATAATCCATCTATATAAACATCTGTTGATGATTAGTGGGGTGAAACTGCAGCAAAACTGAGCAGTAAGGAATATAATGACAACAATCCAGACGGGCTTTCAATAAATATCAGGGGAGGTTTAGATTAGGTATTAGGAAACATTTCTTAACTAAAAGAGTAGTCAGGCATTGGAACAGGCTGCCCAGGGAAGTGGTGGAGTCCCCATCTCTGGAAGTGTTCAAAAAACATGTAGATGTGGGACTAGCAGGCATAGTGGTGTTGGGTCGATGGTTGGACTTGATGATCTTGGAGGTCTTTTTCAACCTATGATTCTATGAAATTGCTTGTAGCCCTTCTCACTAATTTCAAATTTTATTTCCTGTCCCCTTCCCCTATCGCCATATAGAAGTATTGCTTGGTGCCTAAAGTGAACTTGGAGCTGGGTGCCAGAATTGAAGTCGCTGCAGTGCTGAGTGTGACAGACCCTAAGGTCCTTTGCTGCACACATGTGCTGCAGTGGATGAGCACACGCATTAATACACTACTCGAAGTGAGCAAGGGCCAGAGAGCCAGCAGCCCTTCGCAAACAGAGCAGAGCAGGTACAGGGTCAAACCTCTCAGAATTTGACCCCAAAAAATCAGTGGAAAAGATTCAACCACCTCCACTGCTGAGCATATTAAACCTGGTCAGAGCTTTTGAGAAGTCAAGAAACCACGTCACAGCTGAATGTCTGTACTCCTCCTGCATCCTATTAGAGGGATTTGTCTCAAGACTTAATTGGCAATTTCGCTATTCTTTCTTTGTTCAGCAGTGTTGACACATTTTTCGCTGCCTTTGCTGTGGAGAAGGCACCAGCATAGCAGGGCTGCGAATTAGACCGTAGGTGTGTTGCAAATTCCAGGGGTTCGTTTTTCACAGAAAGTCAAAACCACCTTTAAGTGCACAAAGCAGCTGTCCCACCACACTCTGACAGTAAGCCTGCCGTACTTCTGGCACACAGACAGGGACTTAGATCTCTTCCAAGACAGTCAAAGCATAATGAAAAAGCAACTTTGATGCTACCTGAAACCAAACTATTCAAAGCACATTGCCCGCATTCCTCAGCTGCAGCCACTGAGCCAGGACATGGAGATAATCATTCGGGCTGGTGATGGGGGAGAAACAAGCTTATGGACTGCAGAGCTGAAGTACTCTGGTCAAGAAAACCTACACAGAATTTAATCTACAAGGTAGCAATATAGTCATATTTCTCCTCCATCCCACTCCCATTAGGTGCATTAGAGAATTAAAACAATCATAGACACGGCAATATTTTTTTTTCTTTTTCGTTTGTCTCTTATCTGTCCCACAGAAAATGAGGATCTAGACCAAGCAAACCATTTCTCTCTCGTCTTGCACCGCTTTTTCAATGGTGGCTAACATTCCCTGTTTCAAGAGGGCAAACTGCTCAGTGTAACACCCAGCCAACAGTAGAGCATTTTACATGGGGGAAAAGTTTCTCCTCATCTTCTCCCAATTATGCAGAGGAAAAGGAACTTGGGGGTGCTGGTTGACAGCCAGCTGAACATGAGCCAGCAGTGTTCCCAGGTGGCCAAGAAGGCCAACGGCATCCTGGCTTGTATCAGGAATAGTGTGGCCAGCAGGAGCAGGGAGGTGATTGTGCCCCTGTACTCAGCACTGGTGAGGCCGCACCTCGAGTACTGTGTTCAGTTTTGGGCCCCCCACTACAAGCGGGACATTGAGGTGACAGAGTATGCCCAGAGAAGAGCAATGAGGCTGGTGAAGGGTCTAGAGAACAAGTCTTGTGAGGGGTGGCTGAGGGAACTGTGGCTGTTTAGTCTGGAGAAGAGGAGGCTGAGGGGACACCTTATCAGTCTCTACAACTGCCTGAAAGGTGGTTGTAGTAAAGTGAGCGTTGGTCTCTTCTCCCAAGTAACAAGCCATAGGACAAGAGGAAATGGCCTCGAGTTGCATCAGGGGAGGTTTAGACTGGATATTAGGAAAAATTTCTTTACTTAAAGAGTGGTCAAGTATTGGACCAGGCTGCCCAGGGAAGTGGTGGAGACACCATCCCTGGAGGTGTTAAAAAAATGTGTAGATGTGGCACTTCAGGACATGGTTTAGCAGGCTTGGTGGTGCTGGGTTGACGGTTGGACTTGATGATCTTAGAGGTCTTTTTCAACCTTCATGATTCTATGATTTTACGCAACCCTGAGATCTGATAACCATAATTATCTTACTTTTATGTATCTACCAATATAGGTACATCAACCTAAGATAAAACAGTTCTTTCTTTACTGCAGCATCTGTTCTTTGGCTTCATAATCTGCTGCAGCAGTGAAGTTTGCGCACTGTGGAAAAAATTCTGTAGTGGTTAAAAAAGGACCTTGGGACACTGAGCTCGTTTTCTCCTTGTGTTATGAAAGCTACCAGGGGAAAGGGGGAGACCAGCAGCACCTCTATGTCACTGCAGTATCCAACAGCAACTTTCTGCAACTCAGACTCTTGAGGAAAACTTCCTGGAAATTTCTTAGTAATTCTAACTGTGGATTCAATTCCACGAATTCTGAAGACTTTTGAGTTGTTAACAGTAGCTAACATACCCTGTTCCAGCTACTGTGTCATACAGATCTATCTGAAGCAGGTCTACAAGGCAAGAGCAGCAGCAGTCCCTGCAGGCCTTTATGAACTTCCTAAAGCTGGAGAGCCACTGGAGAACAGACTAGAGAACGGTGTATTTGTGGCTTTACCTACGCTGCCAGTAAAGATGTCTTTGAAAGCGGGTTGTGCACTCCACTGAAGGCGACCAACCAAAGGCATATACTCTGGCCTTCAGCTTCTGCTTCCTTCTATGTAGGGACCAACAAAGAATGCTCTGAAGGCAGGTACTAGCTTCGTCTTCCAGGGCTCTTCAGGCATTAGAAGGAAGTCACTGAATTGTCCTCCCCCAGTGCTCAACAAAGGTGAGCAGTGTAGAATGGTGAAACGGCAGAAAACGATCTGCATTCATAGAATGGAAAGGTGGAACAAAACACCAAAAAGTGGTTCAGAAGAATGTCTTGGAAACCGCAACTGCAAGACTAAAAAAACTTCTGCACGCATGGCAACTGCAATGGCAGCACAGACAGTACCAAGGGCATCTTTAACACCTTCGCCTTTAAATGCAGAGTATGTGCCAACAGCATAAAAGAGTATAAAAAGAGTAGAAAAGAAGTAACAGCTCAGTGTGCGCTGGTTTCCATGAAGCATGTTATGTACCCATTTAGAACCTAACACAGAGTCTGTTTATACCCTAAATGCATATGTAATACAAATAAAATGCATTTCAAAAACATCCAAAACATATAAAAAAAGAATTTTGGAGACTGTCTTACCTTTGACCCAATAAGCGTGTACAGCCATTGGATGGTTTCATTATGATTTATTACGCCATTCATGCCATCAACATAGAGCATAATCTGGCCCAAAGCTACAGTAAAGAAAAGAGATAAAATATAATCAGACCTGGTGAGTATTTTTTATAATCCTAAGCATTGCTGGCAATTTTCTATAACCGGGTTTTTCCAGAGACTTGTGGGGCTCAACTAATGAAAGATATGTTGGGCAAGATTCTCCTGGACGAAATCCTGGGCAACTGCAGTAACCTTACTGACTTCTTCTGGATGATATAAGTGTGAATTTCATCCAGGGACAAGCACAGGCACTTGTTTCTTCCTAGAAGATGACACATTTTATTGCCCCAAAACTCTGCAAACAGTTTTGTACACGCTGCAGTTGGTTTTATTCCCTTTCAATGCTAAAAAGATTTGCCCCTTGATCAGGATGAGATCCAGTCATGATACGGTCACCAACACTTTTTTTTTTTTTTCTTGCAAATTCTTTGGTTGGGGGTGAAGGGATTTAATTTGAATTTGAAACAAATGTGCAACAAATTTTTACACACAACAGTTACATCAGCTGCAATGTTTTGCATCTTGTGAGCCAAGACTTTTACCATCTGTTTCAGCATCCTATAATGTTTGCAATCGGTTTACTTGGATTAAGTTGACTGTTTCAGTGAATTCCAATAATATGAAATTAAAGCAGGGCAATTAACACCAATAAGGACAGCAAATATTCACCAATACACAGTGCTCTCTTACAAATGAGTTTTGCCTTTTAGTGAGAAAATACAACAAAGCATGGTTAACACAGAAGCATCTTAATTTTTTCTGAAGCATTGGCAACATTTCAAACCATGCTAATAAAATATTTCATAATAGTAATTCCATAGTTTGCAATCCTGGTAATAGGAGACTTTATAGAGACAACAGCTATTCAATCTTTTCTGACTGATAAGGACAGTCATTTTTTGTAAGGATTATGAAAAGTGGATTAGCAAAATTCATCTATCATCTCCAAAAGTTTCCACTGTTAGATCTTCTGCTTTATAGCAGGAGATCAAAGCACAGTGGGCATGAAAAAGAAATCACTGATGTAACACCTTTCAGCACAGCCTGTTGGCATAACAACTCAATTATTTAACGCACAACCTGACAAGCCCCTAGTACACCGCTTTATGGGGGAATAAAAGGAAAAAAATCCGTGGGGTGAGGAAAATCACGATGTTATTAATCTTCCAAACACTTGCTAAGTTTTGCACAGGTTGTGCGCAGTGCAGCGATGTTTTCCTTGAGGGCAGATTTTCGAAGGCATGAATGTTAGGCAAGCACTTAAGGACCCCTCTAGCTCAGCAGCTAACTTTCCTTTTTACACCAAGTCTCCTCTTTTTTCCTTTGCCTTCGTTGGTCTCCTTACAGTTAAAAAACCGGAGTTACTAATTTTCGGTACCTATATTCCTTATCTAATCTGTTACACCGAGCTGGAAGCAAAGCCACCCTACAAGGTCAATGAAGCCGGAGAAAAAGCGAGCGAGGGCTACGGCGAGGAGGTAACTGGTATCTCAGGCAGGCTACGCTGCCGCTGGGCTATGCCCACCTCTCCCTGCTCCCCCTCTCCACGCAGCCATCATTCACTGCCCTCCGAAGACGCGTGCCTCGGGAATAAAATCACATGGGAGGGACACAGGCCCAAGTGTTAAGGTAAAATAAAATATGTAAGCCAGTCAGTAAAAAGAGATAAGAATTATACTGCCTGAAAAAACAGCTGCTTTGAAGCATTTCCTTGCAGGTAGGGGAAAGAGAAGAACACTGCTATCCCAGAGGTAATCAGAGAAAGTTCTTAATGCTTGTTTTTAGTTCGTATCCATCCTAAAAACATTTGGCCCTTGAGCAGGATGAGATCCAGTCACGATAAGGTCACCAACCCTCTTCTTTTCTTTTTTTCTTGAAAATTCTTTGGTTGGGGGTGAAGGGATTTAATTTCTATTTGAAACAAATGTGAAACAAATTTTACTCTTGGCGCATGCTTTCCAAACTGATAGAGAAATCAAAGACAGTAAGAAGCCTGCTTTTAAAGAGAAAACATGCACACAACACAAAATTACTCCACTGCTTATACTTAAGACCAGTTAGACTGGATGCTAAGTGAGACCTGGGATGCATTAGTCTTCAGCCTCTTAAAGTGACTCTTCATAACAGTAACAGGTTAAGGCAAACTAGAAGACCTCAGAAAGAAGCCAAAAAAAATTTTTAGGGATTCCTGACAATTTTCATCTGCTACCACTAATCCCGCCACCCCAAACCCTTCCACCACCTTCTGGTTTGTTTTTTTTTTTTCCATTATCAACACTATCCTAAGTACCTGGTAGTATCTATATCTTTCCAACAGAACATGTCTTTTGGATATACATGAAAAATTAGTAACACATAAAAAAAACCACAACTGCTGCCACTTGAACAAGTGACCAACATGTTATGAAATGACCAAGATGCAGACAGCTTTGCTATAGAGTCATGCTGTCCACATACAAGTCGTGACTCCAGTAATTATTTGCCACACATCAAGTTATCATCTGCTGACAGGCTTTGGTGTGGAGCTTCATATTGCTGCTTCCTGTCTTCATGGGTTAGAAAAGTGAAAGCAAGACCTAACAGGCAGGGCTAAGGAGAAATCAGCTTTCATTATGAGGAAGAGTGAGTTAGGGATAATCTGTACGTGCTTTGTACAAAGCTGCTGCCTGCGGAAAAGAAGTCCATGAGAAAACCTAAAAGAAAGAGAACATTGGTTTTCACACCATGTCAAGTGTCTGTGCTGAGGAAGGAAAATGTCACACCTAGTAACCGCACAAAACAGCAGCAAAATGGAGGAGGCCACCAAAAACGCTAGTGTAGGAGCAGGCTGGTGGACTGGAGGCTCTTGGGCTCTCCCAGGGCTTGGGTTTGGCTGAGTAGGACACACCAGTTTCGCACTAAACGGAAGGAGACTGGCCACAGAGCACTCTGCACTGTTTCATATTCTTTGCAGCTTTTCTTCCCAGCTGGTAGCCTACCTCCTGGCCCACGATGGCAGTCTGCTGAAATGGCTGCACCTACAGTGCAAACTCCATGTGCCCACCGCCCTGCATGTGCGTGTCTCCACGCACGCACGCCCACCACCGACACGCAGGGCTCGCCAAGACAGGGCACGCTAATCTGCAAGGCACTCTGAGGTTGTTTGAAAGGCCAATCTAGTTCAAAATCATTTAGGTTTGCATTTGTACGTGCCTTCAACCGAACTCCTTTTTTTTCACTGAAAAATGAGGAGGCTATTTAATCCATTTAATCCCATCTCTCAGCTAACTGGAATTCTTTTTGGAAGTATACCAACAACCTACTTGCATTAGGAAAGCTTGCTATTGTGCAACAGGGGGCTGGGAAAGGGGGGATTAAATATGGAGCAGACTTAATTTGGAATTTCTTTGTTCCCACTACCCTTGTCAAACCCTTAATCTTATGTGAAAGTAGTGTGTGATTTTACCCATAGCTATTTTCAAGTGGAAAATTGCTGGATTTCTTAGGAAAGGCTTAGGCTAGGAAAGGACAGATCAGCCAGAAACTTTATAGAGTTTTGTGAAATAAGAGGTTTAAGAAAGCCTCTAAAAACTTGCCAGTATTGGCACTGATACTCTCCTGGGATCTTTCTTATATAAAGTTAATGGGACCAAAGGGGAAGAACTCTAATACAACACATTGTCATGATGAACATCACTTTAAGTAAAAATCTATTTTTCCCACCCAGAGCATCAAAAGTTTCAAAGCTGTTTCTTGCCCACACACCTGCTTCTCTAATCTGCTCGAGTTGCTTCATATTTGAACACAAGACTAACTTAGAGAAAAGAACAGCAATGAATGAGGAGAAACACTATTTTCTTATAGTTTCCTGCAAGTCAAAACCCTGTTCATCACGTCAAGAATTATGGCAGGGATTCATCTTGTGATTGCATTTGTGTCCATCAGAATAAGCAAATGTACAGGGTGAAGCAGGCCAAAGCCAGACCCTGTGGCCACAGGTTTCAGCTCCTGAGGAAGCTTCTGGCCCGAGGTCATCAGGCACTTCACAGCCAGCAACCATGGAGCATGCGACACGCTGTACGCAACAACGGGTGAGCGTGAATGAAAGACAGGACTGTGATGAAACTAACAGGGAAGAACCAGCTGCTGACAGTCGTCTTTCTCATGGCTAGTTAAAATCTTACCATCATCAGTGAGGAGAAATTCAGGGTCAGTGTGATTGGCTTCATTCCATCTGAAAACAGATTACTAGCTTACGTATGCTATCCTAGGCATCAAAAAGGCCTACTCCATCAAAACAAATGTCCTGATCAAGAACAAAATTTCAGTATCTGTTTAGTGAGGGATCCCAAGACCAAGATAATACAGTTATTTAGTATTCTATTACAAAGCACTAGGTGATAATTCTGAAGAAAAAAAAACCAAACACCTCAAACTTTTTTCTCCATGTTTCCTCACTAGAGAGAGGCAAGAGCTCAGCTACCGAGTGGAACTGCCATGATCACAAGATCTCCAGCTCAGCCCCAACATGCTGGATGTCAGGAGCTTCTACTTTTGCTTGTAGCACATTCCCACAAGGATGCTTGCACACGCACCCTCAGGGAAGAGTTTATTGTCTCCATAATATCCAAGGATATTGGATAGTGTTTTCATTATTAAATGCAACTTTTGAACCATCCAGTTACTTGAAAATTAACATAATCGCAGCAGAGCTCCCTGCTTCTAAGAGGTGACATCAGATAAAACAGATGACCTGGACTCTCCACTGCTTCTGAAAATGATTTTACAAAGCAGCACTGTGCCAAACCTTACGACTCACACTCCTTCCCCAGGGCTAGAACCAGCTAAAATTCTTAGATTTGAGGTTTTGTTTTCTTTTTTTTCTGCTGTTACTATTCATATGAGTTGCTTTTAGCTTTAGTGCGATATCTGCTCTTTATACACCTATTCTTATTTCTTTACTCCTTTTGAAGATATCTGTAATGTCATATAGGAAAACACAAATGATCTTATTCCTGGCCACAAATGCATGAATATT